CTGTGATCGTCGTCACTGGTGAAGAGTGCTGGCTAGTGTGACATTGTGACAAACCCAGGGTTCAGGTGCTGGAGGGAGTTCCTATGGAAGGAAGTGGGAGTGTGCACCACCTCGCTCCATCACAAGTGCTTGTTTTGAGACCAATCCATGCTTGTGGCACAGAAAGCATCCAGCCATGCTAGTAAATGGCTCTGTTGGCCTGGCCGGTCATTCTTGTCTTCTTGCCTGAGTCCCACAGATCCTTATGCTTGGGAGACAAGCAGCCACCTGCTTGCTGAGGTTGATCCTCACTGAACCAAGAGTGTACTATTGGCCCAGAACCTTCTTTTAGGTACATGTCTCCCACCTTCTTGCTGATAAGCTGACTGATGGTTAATTATTTAAAAGTCCTTTCTAGGTAAGTGTTGCTTTCTTGGGAACATAGAGGAAATACTAACAGACTAAGTCAAGCCAGAGACGCAAGGGTTTTCTTGGCTCATGCTTTATAGCTTCCAGTCCATGGTCAGGTGGACTCCTTGCTTTCACGCTTCTGGTGGGGTGCACCTGGCAGAGCAGAACTGCTCACTTGTTGGCCAGAAAATAAAAGGAGAGAGTGAGAGAGAGAGAGAGAGAGGCCGGGGTCCCACAATCCTCACCAAGGGCAGTCTTCAATGACCTAAAGACCTGCCACTTACCCTCCCCTTTTAAAGGATCCACCACTTCCCAATAGCCCCAAGCTGGAGACGAAGCCTTTAACACACAGGCCTTTGATGGACATTGAAGGTCCAAACTATAGCAGAGACTAACTCATCTAGGAAAAAAAAAAATGAATGATGGACCTAGAATGACTTCGTTATTTGGCAGTTGTAGCCCAGTTGAATCCCTTTTACTCATTCATTTGACAGATACTTTTTAAGAGTTCGTTGTGTAGCAGGCATTGCACTAGGCTCTAGGGAACTGAAGGTGGAAAGAAAGAATGCTTTCTCTTAAGGAGCTGAGAGTCTAAGGGAAAAATAGCCCTATAAACACACACTGAAAATAAGACAGCCCTTAGAGTGGAGGCATGGTACAGCATCATGATTGCATGATCACATTTGTATTTTAGTGAGACCATTTGATGGGGGGAGGATGAGGTCAAGGCTAGAAGGCAGTGGGCATGGAGAGGAAGGCAGGTCAAGACCTTTCAGGAAGCACCATCTAGCAAACTCGGTGGTTACACATGAAGGCAAAGGAAGCAAGGAAGGCTTGAGATTTCTAGCCTGATACTATTCACTTATCTAGTGACCACTGGAATAAGGGCAAGCTTAGGGGCAAAGAGAAGTATGTGGAATTTTCAGTTGAGAGGTATGTATCTCTGCATAGATTCACAGAATGACCTGGAGAGGACAGGAGAGAATGCCAAGTCACCAGGGAATGGATGGCTGCTGAAGCTGTGCCTTGCCTGGGAATGAGATCTGCCTGCACATGAGTGAATCAGTCTAAGAGGGTCACTGGTGGGGCCCGCCTTTTCCTGACATGCCTCTAGAGGAAGGAGAAAGCAATAATGGCAACTTTATTGTTCTGCAGCGATCACTGGTCAGGCAGACGTAGGTGTCTGAGTGTGAATGTTCTTTACCCTTGACCCCTGGGGACTTTTGCCAGTTCCCCCAAGGGTCTTTTTAAATTGATGGGACAAAAATGGTTTTGTATATTTTCCTGAAAGATGAAAGTGTTTTGAATACAAAGACCCTAAAGTTAAAAATTTAGAATGAAATTGTTGTCTGAGTGCCAACAGGCAGTTTTTATACATGCTGAATCAAAAGTGGGGGGGGAGTTGCTTGTGGGGGGCTCATTTGACTGTTTCCTGTGGGTCAGAGGCAGACAGCACACATATGCTGAGGCCCATGAGCGAGGCAGCAGGCCAGGCTGCACGCCTGGCTGTCCTCTGGGCCAGCCAATGCAGAGGGCAACTCCCCAGTCCATCTCCTCCACAGTCCTCTCTGTGTCCACATCAGGACAGCCCAATGTATGTGCACTGTCCCCAGCCCCTAGTGCTCCTTTGTTTCCCCTCCCCTGCTCATGACCACTGTCCCATGAAGCAGCATCCTCTGTCTCAGTGCAGACAGGAAGCTGTGTCTGTTGACCATTCTTCTTTGAAGTTTTCAGTCGCACTAAAATATTAATAATGTGTGGACAAGCACTTGAGAGGCGTTTTGGCTTCCATAAGAGATCTTTCCTGACTTACAGAGGTCTTTGGAGGATGGGCACCAACAGGGTTTCAGATCAAGCATTACTTCATTGAAGGGAAGCCTCTTTGACACCAGCCAGCAATTGAATCCTCATTCAAGAGCTAGCCTTGGTCTTCCCCCAAGACGGCAGTGGACTGTGGCTACATCTTGGCTATCTGAGACCATATTGGTTGTGAGCTCAGCTGTTGCACTCATGGAAGGGGTCTTTCGGCTCTCACAGAGCTAATGTTGCTTGGCACACAGGTGCATGGAGGAGATCTGTGGGCAGCTGGAGTTCTCACTGATGACTCCTGAACTGGGAGTGTGCCTGTGCTGGTTGGTTCTCTGAATTGCAGCACTCTGAACTGAAAGGGCAGAGGGGTGTGGCATTTGGTAGTCCAGAAGCCAAAAAGGCACAGTGGATATGAATTCATGGAGGTTGGAACTTTTCCTGTGTGTCCTCAGATCCCCAGCCTGGCATGTTGGAAGTCAACATAGCTATTTGGTAGTTGTTGGAAGTTGAGCTACAAAAAGCAACAGGCTGAATGAAGAATGGAGATTGGTAAAAACGAAAGAGGGAAGAGAAGAAGAATTCTCAGAACCAGAGGGTCCATGTAGCTCTGTAGGCTGGATGTGTCTCCAAGCCAGTCAAATCCAGATTTCAAAACCAAATAAATTGTGATGTGCAGAACAACTTCTCTTGTCACTGCCTCCTTACCCTAGCACTTCCTTGGTAAGACGGGGTTAATAAAAATAGTCTAAATAGGTAATTAATTTTATGTGTCTTGAAATTAAATAGTTGGGTGATTTGAAAAAACGCTGTTGGTTGTGAATGGCTTTTAAGTGCTCTTGTCTTTATTTCTTAGGTTATCTTAAATTATCTGTAGAATGTGGAAATAGGTAGGAACAATGGAACAACTGCAGAGTACAGCACTATATGGTCACTAAAAATAATATTTCTACCTAGCGTTATTGAGAAGGAAAAGTTCTTATTATGTAGTGTTATGTGAGAAAGCAAGAAGTTTTATCTTGGCACATACAGAGGCCCAAAGAAATTCCTTTGGAGTCAGTGAGCCCTTCGTACAGAACTCTGAGCAAAACACTTGGGCCTCTTGATGGAGATGTCTCTTTGGCTCGTGAAGTGAAAACTTAGAGACTAGTGGTCAAGACGTCTGGCCTTGGTGTAGACCAAACTTTTAACCCTTTGGAGCTGTTTCTTTACTAGTAAACCTGCTCTAGAATGGTTCCTGTGGGGGCCCTTTCTGGTCCCACATGTTCTGAGCTGTGATTCGAAACTCTCTGGACTGCAGAGGGCACAGGGTGGGCCTCATGTGCCTCACATCACTTCTCCAAGTGACACTTGGTCAACCTTGACCTTCTGCTGCTTCCGTCCCTTCCGATGACTGGCCTCAAGTTTCTGTATCCTGAGCTACTCCTTGCTGGCTGTGTGTAAAGAGGCCTCTTGATTTATTCACTAATCAGCGTGTGTGAGTTGTAGTTCGGGTCATTAAACAGGGAAAACAAAATGCTGGAGTCCATCATCAAAACGGGCTGTAATTAAGAACAACCCTCAACCCACGATCATCCTGCCTTCCTGGCTGACCCACACCGCCCTCCCCACCCTTAGCCATTGCTGAGGGGCTTCTGCCCTACAAATGCTGGCAGCAAACTTCAGAAGGGTGGATTTTCTTCTGAAGTCTTAGGGGAAAATAAGCCTCGAGACAATGAGCCTCATTAACTATTTGCAATAACTGTTGAACCTGGAAAGTTTAGCCAGGCCGCAAACATGCCACCAGGGCTCTGTCTGTACACACAAGTACTGTGGTCTCCTGTCCTCACTTCCCTACAAATGGAACCTTGGAGCTGGAAGGTCATTATAACAAGGACAGGCCAGGTGTGACAAATGAGAGGTTCAGTGAGATTAAGTAAGGTGTCCAAGGTCACACAGAACACCAAAGTCAGTGGTAGCAGAACTAGGAAACATGTCAGTACCCATCAGCATGCCTTGCTATTTCTGGGTGCAGTCCTGCTTTCCTGTGAGGTTACAGCAAGGAAGCGAGAGGCAGCACCCTCAATGGAGCCATCTTCTGACTTATGCTAGATAGGGCTTCTGAGCTGAAGGGTTTGTTTACGTGCTTATTTTTTTGTGTTTGTGTGTTTGTTTTGCAGTGCTGGGGATGGAATCCAGCACCTTACACGTGGTAGGCAAGTGGTCTGCCACTTGAGCTGCACCCTAGCCCTTTTGTTTTAATTTCATTTTTGGCATAGAGTCCTACCATGGCCAGGCCACCATCACCATCCTCCCGTGTCTGCCTCCTGAGCAGCTGGGATTTCAGGCATCCACCACCATGCCTGGCTTGGGTTGAAGATGTTTTAAATGGTAATTTTAGATGAAACTTGTGAAGACAATATCTTGGATTGTTGTAATGAGTCAGGAAATCAAATATCCAGAAGCAGACACGCCAGCTTGCCATGGGGCAGGCAACAAATGCTAGCTAATAGAGAGGGGTTTGCTGGGCTGCTGGAGCAGCCTGGATCTCTGGCTCAGAGTCTGCTCAGTTGGTTTTCTTCCAGTGGTGCTTAGCACATTGTGAGGCCAAAGTTTTCTTCGAACAGAATCTCTGTTCCTAGTCACAAGTCGCAGTTCCATCCGTTACCAACTTTCTATGATAACAGAGGTCGGGGGCTACACGCATGGTCAAAATGACTACACATCCCCCATCATGCAGGACAAACATCTGTGTCTTCTGACTAGACCTCTAGGAAGAATCCAGGTTGGCCATAATTTCTTAGTGGACATAAGAAGAATCCGAAATGTTCTTACTTGGCCGGCTGGTGAGATGCTTAGAAATGATGTTTTTTGTTTTGTAACATCTTTAAAGTTTTCAGTATAAAACTCTTACATCTGCCCACCATAGAGACTCTTCTACCAGTCTGGCTTCTCCTTTCTGATGGGTGCCAGTCAAACACTCAAACTCTCTGGATACGGGTAGAATTGCACTCACCAGCTTTGACTTACAGACTCTCCTTTATTTTTTCTCCTGTGTTCTCCAGGACCCTGCTTTCTCAGCTGTGATTCATGACAAACTCCAGGTCCCTAACACCATCCGGAAGGCGTGGAATGACCGTGATAACCGCTGTGACATTTGTGCCACGCATCTGAACCAGCTGAGACAGGAGGCCATCCAGATGGTGCTGGCCTTGGAGCAGGCTGCTGGCAGTGAGCACTACGATGCCTCTCCCAGCTCCCCGCCTCCGCTGTCCACCATCCCTGCCCTGGTGGGCTCTCGGCATGTGGGGGGGCCCCAGCAGCCCAGAGATTGGGCCTTTGTGCCTGCGACCTATGCCACCTCCAGCTACACAGGCCTCATCAACAAGCACAGCAGCAAACCCAACAGCCTTGGGGTCAGCAATGGGGCAGAAAAGAAGAGTGGGTCCCCAACCCACCAGGCCAAGGTCAGCCTACAGATGGCCACCAGCCCCAACAATGGGAACATCCTCAACTCAGTGGCCATTCAGGCTCACCAATACCTAGATGGCACCTGGTCCCTTTCAAGAACCAATGGGGTCACTCTGTACCCCTATCAGGTAAGCACTTCTATGAGCAAAGAAGGGCAGGGATGCTAGCTAGAGTCTCCACCCTTTGCCTTCTGGGAACTCCCCAGCTCAGGGCCTAACGCTTACACTAGGCCACCACAGGGTCCCCACCATGGTGCTCCAACCAGGCCTGCTTGCTTGGAGAGTGTATCCTCTAGCCTCCTACTTCTGCCCTCTCTGCTCACTCACACTCTCCTTCCTAAGCAATCCTGTGGGTCCAGGCAGTGCCCAGGGCTTGCCTTCCATCTCATCTGGCAGTTAAAACTTGTAAATGCTTAGATGGGGTCCGGTCCCTGACTTGCCCACTTACTAGCGGTATGACCTTGCACAAGGGTTTGCCCTGCTTCAGACTCAGCTTTCTCACTTAGGAATGGATAGAATTGTAGTGAGAAATGAATAAGGTGATGTATATAAACATGGAGTCCAATGTCTGGCATATGCAAGGGATTATTGGGCCTAATAGCAGAGAATTTAGAAACTAAGACACATGGGTGAGAGAGTTTTGAATTAAAGAATATGTAGTTCCTAAGAATCTGTCCCAATTTTTCGGGTGAGTTTCTGTTCATTGAGGCTTAGCACACATGCTTTATGTTCCCTGTGGCTGTGGGGTAGGAAGCAGCAGGGAGTGTTGATTGTCACAGAGTGTGTTGCCATAGTCAGGGGGGATGACTGGGGTAACACGTGATTCTAAAAACCTCAGGGAATGTCTCACAGTGAGTGCTGGGAGGTGACCTTCCTCTGTGATGTAGGGACTCAGGCTCCTTCCATCAAATGTGTGCCCATCCTCCAGGGGCCTCAGAATCCTCCACCAGGTCTTCTATAACCAGCCAAGACACATGGACAGTGTGGAGGATCTCACAGGGGCTTGGGGCCCAGCTTGGCCTGGAAGGGGTGTCCCTTGCTTCCAGGGGCAAGAATCCAGGATCCTGGCCCCACGTTCCTGCAGGGGAAGCTGGGAGAGCCAGCCTGCCCAAGTTTGCAGGAGAAAAAACAAGTTCTGTGTACACATAGCAGGGTGTTGAAACACAGGACGAAGTATGGGGAAACATAAAATGAACTAAACATGGCTGATGAAATTCCTGGTGACTTTCTAGGGGGACTTTTCTAGGGGGATAGATTGTGTCTGTTGATATCTTGAAGGAAAATGGGGAAACGCTGATCATTGTCCTAAGAACTTAGCATTGTTGGATTGCATCCTTTTCCTTTTGCTGGATGCCTTACAGTTTCCAAAATACAATGCCGTGTCATTCTCTTTACCCCTACCCAGGCCTGTGAGGCCGGGAGCAAAGCTGTCAGATCTTTCCTTTACAGATGCTTAGAGAAATCAAATGTCCAGTGGCCACACAGACAAACGACAGACCAGCCATTCCCTCCTCTCCGAGGGAGTGTTTTCCTATCACAGGGGGGTACTCTGAGCATCCCTGTCAACTTCTTTTCCAGATGTGACTCCTTTTCAGATCTGGGAAACCCTACTTTGACCTGCAAGGGCTGAGCCGCCACTTGACATTTGTACAGAACTTTCTGGGTTGTTTATATAAATAAAAATATGCTAAATTATCCAGTTATGTAGTATTATATAAATATTAGAAGGAGCCCTTTCTGTGGAGGGATGTGTGCCTGTCAGCTTTCCATGACTGTAACAGACACCTGGGATGGCCTCTTTAAAGGAGGAGAGGGTTGCTTGGCTCATGAGTCCAGATTGGTTGGCCTCATTGCTTTTGAGCCTGTGGTGAGACAGTGCATTATGGTGGGAGCGAGCGATAGAAAACGGTTCACCTCACTGCCAGGAAGCAAAGGGAGTGAGGCAGGGCTGGGGTTCCACATTCTCCCTCAAGGGCACAGCTGCAGAGACCTAAATGCCTCCAACTGGGCCCCACTTCTTAAAGGTTCCACCGCCTTCCAACAGCACCACTCTCGGAACCAAGCCTTTAACTCACGGGCTTTTGAGGGACATTCCAGATCCACGTTACAGCCAGGTGGAGCAGATCATGTCCGTTCTCGCTGTGGACTGGGATGCTTTTTTCATTTATTATTTAAAACATGCTATTGTGAAAATTATAAAAAGCAATACATGTTTGTTTTAAAATAACACTTAAACTATGTGAAAAAGTTTAAACTAACATTTGGGTGTAGTTCCTTCAAGTGTTATATGCAGTCAGTTTCGATTCTGTGACCTACTTTTCACTTAATAGTTTGGGTGCATTTTCATGTGCTGTTATGTACTTTTCTAAAATACCTTAGGGGTGAGGATGTCGCTCGATGGTGAGGTGCTTGCCTAGCATGCATGAAGTCCTGGGCTCCATCCCTGGCACTGCAAAAAAAAAAAGTAAAATATGACCCTTAACAGTGGAATAATATTCTGTTATACGAATATTACCAGCTCTACGAGTGTATCCTGATTTATAGAACCAATCAGTATTGGAGTGTAGGATTTTGGTAGTGTGAATTAAATGCTCAGGTGAGCATCCTTCCACACAGGTTATAGTCCTGGCCACAGGACTGATAGCACAGGCGACCCATGGTTCCCTTCCATGCAACCTGTCGCCACACAGAGCACTGGGTTGCTACTCCAGTGCTGCTGAGCCCGGGCAGAAGAACTTGGAGTCAGTGCTTTCACAGAAGAGCTGTGTGACAGAGAGCAATCCAAAGGACTCTGCTTAAAAGGAAAATTTGGACTATTGGTGCATTTCTATTGTCTTTGCAATAATTCTGTTCGTCTTCTTCCCCTGTCTCGGATGAGAGATTTTCTTGTACAAAAACAAGTATTTATGAGCCCTAAGCACATAGCAGGCACTATGCTAGCTGCTGAGTGTATTGATGCCTTGCCTGGAAGTCCAGGCTCCCGTCCTGACCCTCACAGTGAGGGAAGGGCAGGCAGGTGAGGGCAAGAGTGGCAGATGCCCAGCTGCCTTCAGAACATGCAGAGGGGACCAGATTCAGCCTCTGGGGCAAGGGTGGATTGATGTGGCTCAAAGCCAGCTACAAAGATCACTCACACAGCCACCAACTTGAACTTGTCCTGGATACATTTTATGGCCTCTTTCCAACTCCAGATCAGACCAGTTCATGCATTTCCCCTGAGTAACAGTTAAAAGGACCAGGGGAAATCTCCCCGGGATAAAGAGATCTGGGGCCTGGCTGTGAATCCTTGTCCTCTGTGTTGTGACTGTCACCTCTGTGCCCTGGGGCGGGGGCTTGGGCTCTGGCAGACTGAGTGTCTCCCGCTGCAGACATCTCCCTGCAGTAAATGCGCTGCCCTTCACGGTCTAGCCAGCTCGTCAGAGATGGTTGACTGCCCTGAAAGCTGACCACAGTTTTCCTGCTCACCATCCTCCCTCTTTCCTCCCCTCCGGATTAGTGCCCAAGCTGTTCCCTGAGCAGGAACCACATGGACCTTGTCACTCTCAGGGGTGCTGCTCCTCACCCCAGAACCAAAGCATGAGAAGAGGAGGCTCGCCCTTCATGACTTAGATGCAGAGCCACCATCGCCACACCACCATGGCACACCCTCAAGAGTGGCAGAAGGAAGATTCTGGACTCTTGTTGCTTTTCATGTTTCCGAAGTCCCTCCAGAGAGAGCAGAAACCTGAGTGCATCACAGATAAATAGGACTCTATCCAGAGAGGTGAGGAAAAGCGTAATTCAGGAGGCACTGAGATGACATAGAAAAATGTCCTTCTCTTCTTGTGGTAGGCTGAGTAAGGCCCCCAAAGATGTCCACGTCCCCACCCCACCATCTGTGGGCATGTCACATCACATAGTGAAAGGGGCCTGGTAGATGTGACTGAGAGCCTGGGAGGTTGAGACTTTCTGGGCTTATCCAGGTGGCCTCAGTGTGACCACCAGGGTCCTCATAGAGGAGGCAGGAAGACCCAAGCCTGGGGGAAGAGGACAGAAGATGCTTCACCCAAGGCCTTGATGATAGAGGACAGGGCCAGAGCCACAGGTAAAGGCAGCCCTGAGCTAGAAAGGGTGGATCAGGTTCTCCTGAGAGCCTCCAGCAGGAAGCAGCTCTGCTGACTGGTCACCTGGCCTTTGGAACTCGAGGAGAATACACCTATGGTGATTAGATCTGTGGACATTTGGTGACAGAGAAGTGACATGGGTCTTCAGACATGCATGTGCCATGTTCTAAGCCATGCCACACATCCACACCACATCCCACACGGCAAACTGCATCACCATGCCTTGGCCAGCACCCCGGCAAGTGGATGACTTCATCCGGATACCCAGAGAATGGGGTGATGCACACTGCACCGCTGGTTTTCAGTTGTCTCAGATGTCCCTGTTGTCACAGAATCATAACAGCAAGCTCACCACAGCCACGCTCCATCTGTAGCTAGTAATTACGGTTACGTAAGCCTCTGGAAGTGACGAAACTCAGTAACCATTCCAATCTGGGCGTGGGGAGAGGTTGAAACACAGAGGGAAGCTCGTGTTCTCTATAGAGCCCGAGACCCCGAAAAGGAGGTTCACAGAACCAACTCAGAAATCCTTCTCGGATCACCGGTCCTGGTGGAGCCAGTGCCTTGGGAAATTGTCAAGCAGGCTGTGAGTGTTGGTTACTGTTCACTTAGTAGGCAGAAGATGCCATGGGAGATTTTGGCGCAGGAGACTGGCACTTTCCTTCTTCGAAATCACGAGTTCTCAATCTTAGCTGCACGTGACTCACTTGGGAGATTAAAAAAATTCCCAAAGCCTAACCCACACCCCAGACCAAGCAAGTGAGAATATCCTCAGGTGGCACCCAGGCCTTAAGGAGTTGTTTATCTGACGCTGAAGTAACAGAAAGGGAGGGGGCAACCACGGGTGGACGGAGGTGGACAGCATCTTAGCCAGCCTTCTGTCACTGTGACAAAATACCTGAGACAGGCAACTGAGAAGGAGGAAAGATTTATTTGACTCATGGTTTCAGAGGTTTCAGCCCATGGTCACTTGACCCTGTTGCCTTTGAGCCTGGGAGGACATCATGGAAAGTGAGGAAAATAGTC